TTTTTGTAGTTTTGAGCCATCTTTGTATCCTTGGGATGAATCTCATTTGATCATGTGGGATAAACTTCTTAATATGCTGTTGAATTTGGTATTTGGTTGGATTTTGGTATTTGTTGGGGGTTTATGTTTGTATTTCTCAAGGATAGTGGTCTGTAGCTTTGTCTTTTATTGTTGTATTCTTATCTGATTTTGGGATCAAGGTAGTGCTCACCTCTCACTAACACCCCCCTCCCACCCATCAACTTAAGGAAAATTGGTATTTCTTTAACTGTTCTATAGAATTCAGTGGTGAGGCCGTCTCTTTGATAGGAGGCTTTTTATTACTGATTGAAATTTTCATTACTTTTTATTAGAACATTTAGGTTTCCTTTTTCTTCACGATCCAGGTCCATTAAGCTTTATGTGTCTAAGGAATTTGCCCATTTCTTACAGATTGTCAAATTTGTTATGTATAATTGTTCAGAATACTTCTATTTATATTTCTGTGGTTTCAACTGTAATGTTTTCCTTTTCCTCTGATATTGTGTGAGACTTCTTAATATGGCTTGGTTTGTGTGGTTTGTTTAACTTGTAGAAGAGAAAGCTCATTGTACTTCTGTGTTGTTTTCTAGTCTTCATTTATTTTTGCTTTGATCTTTATTATTTCTTCCTTTCTGCTAACTTCAGTTTGTTCTTGTTTATCTATTTCCTTGATGCAAAGGTAGGTTATTTAAACCTTTGTTGGGGGTATTGATTGTTGTAAACTTTCCTCTAATACTACTTTTACTGTACATCGAGGTTTCATATGTTGTGTCTCCATTTTTATTTGTTTCAAGAAATTTTTAAATTTTTCATCTATTTCTTCTTTGACCTATTGATTTTTTTTCAAAGGTAAATTGTTTAATTTCCCAGTATTTGAATTGTTTTGAAAGTTTATTGATTTCTAGCTTTGCTGAATTATGGTCAGAAAAGAATCTTGATAGGATTTCAGTTTCTAAAGATCTGTTGTGACTTATGACCTGTAATGATCTGTGCTGTAGAGCATTCTGTGTGCTGATGACAGCAACCTGTCTTTGGCAGCTGGTGGATAGAAAGAGTTCAGTTTAACTCTAATGGTTCTTTGCTGATTTTCTTTCTGATCTACCCACTCCTGAAAGTGGGATGTTAAAGTCCCTAACCATTATTATATTAGAATCTCTCCTTTCGTGTCTATTAATACTTGCTTTATGTATTTTGGTGCTCAGATATTCTAATATATATAGTTCTCAGATATTCATTCCCATATATATATATATATATGAGTTTTGGTTATTTTTTCCTTTTGTCATTTTATAATGACCTTCCTGGTCTCTTTTAGTGTTTCCGATTAAAGTCTATTTTAGCTAATATTAACATGGCTGCTTCTTTACCTTCCATGTGCTTGCGATATCTTGTTCCACTCCTTTACCTTCAGTCTTTGTGTTCTTAGAGGTAGAATCACTTTCTTATAAACAACATATAGTTGAATTAGTTAAATACAGTCATTTTGTGTGTGTATGGTTTTTTGTTTTGTTTGTTTGTTTGTTTGTTTTTATTGGTTTTGAGACAGGGTCTCTGTAGCCCCAGCTGCCCTAGAACTTACTATATTGACCAGGCTGGCCTTGAACTCACAGAGATCTGCCTGCTTCTGCCTCTGAATGCTTGGGACTAAAGGCGTATGCCACCACACCCAGCTCATTTTGTGTCTTTTAGTTGGGGGATTTTGTGCATCTACATTCACAGTAATTACTCATATGTAAGGTCTTAATATTATTAGCTTGTTTTCTAGTTTTACTGTAGTGACTGTCTCCCTCTCATAGTCTTCCTTGGTGGTTAAGGGAGTCACTCTATTACTGTGTTTTGATTCCCCGATTATTGTTTAAGGTTTGTCAATTACAGATTTCTACTTTGTGATTACCATGAGGCTTATTTAAAAACCAGTATTTTCACTATAATGCGCTCTTCCGAAATGATAACTGATTTCCTTAGCTCTGTGCTGGTCATTTAGTGTGTAAATAATTGTTCAACTTGATGTGTGTTGAAGGAGATTGTCACAGGCTCTTATCTTGTTCCATGCCCTCCAATCGAGTCATCTTGAACGTGATATCAAAATGTTTTGAGGATTTTCTTTTTATACATTACAGCATGTTTGTGGAGGTCAGAAGATAGTCTGGAGGAGTCATTTCTCCCCTTCCATGAAGTACGTTCTGGAGATTGAACTTAGATGGTCAGTTAGATGGTTGGCAGTAGTGCTTTTACCCACTGTGTCATCTCACCAGCCTTGTTCTTCTCTTTATTTAATACATGTAGTAATTTCTTTACTCTTAGACATTAGTTTTATTTTTATGGCTTATGTTTTGAGAATGTACAGAATACTTCAATAATAATGCAGACTGCATATATGCATTTTTGACATTTCCAGCTCTTTTTTAAACTCTGTATCACAACTTAATCCAATAAATATTAGAATTACCACTAGATATCTTTATCCTGTAGCCTACATAACTTGCTACCTAAAGGATAACTTAACTTTAGAGATGATTTGATATGTTAGGACAAGAATAGATTAGAACCAGCATACCTCAGTGGCTCTCAGTGTCTTCAAATTATGGATAACATATCAAGAGCTCCCTATAGTTTTCATATTAGATGTGTACACAGTAGTCTGCATATGCCTGTTTGTTGACAGGCCCTCTGTCCCCATACACTAATTGGAAAGTACTTGTATATGACATAATGTCCTGATAATTGTGGTTTCTTTCTCATATGGTGTCTCTCTGCCAACTATCTGCTTGTGATTATTTTGTCTCATTTTATATGTTTGATTTCATATTGATGAGTTAATTACTTATAAAGTAAATCATTGGATTTGTTCCCACCAGTGATACCAAGAGGAAGCAAGGGATGAGGAAAAGGAACAACACCGAAGTGGAAGATGTGAGACCAACAAGCCACCATGGGAAGAAGGCCAAGTGGGAGCCCATAGAACCTCTGGATACAGGCCTTTCTTTAGCAGAGGATGAAGAGCTGGTGTTACACCTGCTCAAAAGTCAAAATTAAATCCTCCCTGCACCTCTGTGCTCCTTGATACCTCTGGACGTTATTGTGTGGGCAAGAAGTGAAAAATAGCATTGGGGCACTTAGATACGTTGTGTCCCACTACCAAAGGACACATTCTGCAGACAGAAATGATCACAACTCTGGGCCTCTTTCACAGGCTCTGCTTTGAAATGTCATACTCAGAGTAAGGATTCATTATATAGTTTACCGTTTTGCAGTGTTTCTCTGTTAGAATTTGTCTATACTCTTCTATTCCGAAATACTTGTTTTCTGTTTTCTTTTCACAGTGCCGGGGTTCAAGCCAGGGCCTTGTGAATGGTAAACAAGTGCTCTACTACTGAGCTGTATACCTAGTTCCTGGATCTCTCTGTTTTTACTGACACATTCAGGAACCCTTGCTCATTTGGAAATTCCCATCTTTCATACGATACAGAGTTTTAATGTTATTGTTAAATGACTAATAATTTTGATGTATATTTCATTATCTCCGAGAAATAGTGTAATGTACCAACCCCGAGAAAGAATATTTTTTAATTGAGATGATAAAAAATAAACATTTTCTATAATGTAAAATACTATTGTTTTTATTGTGTACAGTGATATAAAAGACACTCAAGGATAGATTCCTAAAATTAAAATGTGTGGCCAGGTCCTGAAACGAAGTTTTTTGTATCGTTAATTTAGCCTGCTCAAAGGTGACACATTGCGCTTACACTGACCAATTGCTAGCTGTTATTTTTAAATCTATAGAAGCCCTGAATCTGAGGGCTGTATGACTGAAACCAGGTGTGTCACTGAGCACAAAGAGTCCTGAGCCCTTCTACAGAAGCTTGTGTAGCAGGTATTGGAAGTCTCCACTCAGCTCCTGATAATGAGAAAAGAGTAAAGTGAGACAGAAGCTTTGTTTTGTTACAAGTAACTGTCAGGATCTTCAGGGGGAAAACATGTGAAGAAATCTGAGCCTTGGCTTGAAACAACTGGTTTTAACATAGATTTGTCACACTCAGGATTCTGTCCCTTCCCCATGTCTCTACCTCATGCACTATGAGAATGAATTTTCAGTAATAGTGTAAAGTCAATCCTGACTCTAAGGAAGAGGATTGATTGCACTGCACCTGCTTATCTTAGTGCCTCCAGCTCAGCCTGAGTCTTGTATGTTTCTGAAAAGCTGGTCTTACATTCAGTGTCCTCATGAGTGGCACAATCTTTCCACAGTCACAATGACTGTTAGCTTCTCTCTCTTCCCATTGCACTCGTTCTGTTGGTCCCTCCTCTAGTGACTGATCCATTGCTTGTTCTCACAGCTGCAGCCTTTAGACTCTCATCAGGACTTACTCAGACTCCTGAGGGTCTCTTAACTGGCCACTCTGCCTCTATATCACACTCTCCAACCCATCTTCTGGAGAATTCTCAGTATCTGAGCATGCTTTTCCTGTCCTGTTCATTCTGTTACAATGTTTCCCAAGTGATCTTTTCTATCTTTGTATATAAACTGTTTCCTTTGTTGCTTGGAAGTTTTCTTGAGAACAGGACTCTTGTTTTGTCCATCTTTGTTACTGCTAAAGCCAAATATAGCGTCCTCTCTATAATTCATAATTAGGCTTATGAATTAGTACTGAATAATAAACCAAGAGAATTATATTTATTTTACTTTTTAATATATTATTTATTCTTTGAGAATTTCATCATATAGACATTATATTTCAGACATTCACCCACAACTCTCCCTACCTCCAAATCCTCCTCCCAGGTCCTCTCCACATGTCTCCCTTACAACTTCATGTCCTCCTGATTTTTACTTTTTAAAATTTTTTTATGTATATGAGTGCTTTGCCTACATGTATGTAAGTGCAGTCATGTTGTGCAAAGCACACAGAGGGCAGAAGAGGGCATCAGATTTCCTAGAACTGGCGTTATGGATGGTTGTTAGCTGACATGTGGATGCTGGAAACCAAACCTGGGTCCTCTGGAAGAGCAGCCAGTGCGCTTAACCTCTGAGTCATCTTTCCAGCCCCCTCTTTTTTTTTTTTTTTTTAAATAACCCATTGAGTCCCATTAGTGATGCCCATATACACATGAATATGTGGTCATCCACTGGAGCATGATCAACCCACTAGGGGCCACATCTGTAAAGAAAACTGACTCAGCCTGGCATGGTAGCACATGCCTTTAATCCCAGCATTCAGGAGGCAGAGGCAGGCGGATCTCTGTGTGTTCAAGGCCACCCTGATCTACATAGTGAATTCCAGGTCAGCTGGGGCTACAAGGAGACCCTGTCTCAAAAAGACAAAAAAAATAAAATAAAATAAAAAAAGAGGGAGGGAGGGAGAAACTCTTCCTCCCCTGGCAGTCATCAGCTGTCAGTAGCTCCTGAGCTAGGTAGGGGTGGGGGCTACTGAGCCCCTTCCCCATCCATGCTGGGATGTTGAGTGGCTCAGTGTTATACAGGTCTTGTGTACAACTACTGTGAGTACTACAATCTTGTGGTAATATCCAGAAGACAGTTTCTTTTTGCCCTAAATCAAGAGAATTTGTAAAGGTATTGTAATATACTGCTCTTTCACCCCTGTAGGAAGGAGATAGTTTATGCTCTTGAAAGCTAGTTGAAATCACTATAGTAGGGAAGAAAAGGTTAATAGATGGGAAAGAAGATTGTTTTCTAAAACCAGAGATCAGAGTTGCAAGAGTGTATAAACTGAAGGCTTACCATTGATTTTATGCTGTGCCATTGTAGTTGTTTTTCCTGAGAAAATTAAGGCAGTTGACTCCTTATATACAATTATTGAATAAAATTTATTTTCAAGGCTTTTGGCTCATAAACCACTTTGAGCTGTAGTCTAATCCCTAGAACGGAAGAAATCCCTATTAAGCAGTGTGAGATTATACCTTGCTGATTTTGAAAACCAGCTAAAACTCAGGTAATAATACGTGGTAGATTATATTGTTTTCAGCATTTATTCATCCAAGGCCCCTCCTTTCCTTTGAGAAATCTTTTTTAAATATTTTTATGTTATGTGTATTAGTGTATTGTCTGCATATAAGTGCACCTGTGTCATGCAGTGCCCACAGAAGTCAGAAGATGGTGTCCAATTCCCCAGAACTGGAGTTATTGACGGTTGTTACCTTCATGTGGTGTTGGGAATAGAACGTGGTCTTCTGCAAAAGCAGCCAGTGCTCTTACCCACTGAGCCATCTCTTTAGCCCCCTTAAAAAAATCTTTTCAACACCACACTAGCACTGACTTTGTCCACATGGCTTGCTTTTAGCCTCTGGAATTTGATAATGGTTATAAACAGAGGTTCTCTGTCAGCTGTCCTGTACTGCTGACTTCCACTGGGCCAGTGTGGACCTGAGAGAAGGTCTTCCTTCCATCTGCACCCAAGGAGAAGTAGATTAGGCTCCACAGCCAGCTTGTTGTGGCCATGTTATCAATCTAGGGGTAAAGAAGATGGAAGTAATCTGTCTTTATTACTCCTCAGTCACCGTTTGCTTATTAAGGATTTAGTCCCTTATACCCTCTCAAACCCCCAGAACAAGATATACACTGGGTCTTCATATTTTTGTCATGGTAACACCTAACACACAACTTCAGAGAAATATTTAACAAACAAGGGAGCAATCATTTGTTCAGTGCATTAGTGAGTTCATCACTATCATATGCTTTGTACTTGTGAGAGGTACCATTCCCTTTGCTGCTTCCATATAGTTGTAGGGGGAGGGGAAAATGCACAATTGTAGTGTATCATAAAAAGAGCAGCTAGGATGGTGATTGAGGGAGTGAGGGAGCCATTGCAGGATTTTAGGAAAGACGGAGGATGGAGGTAGTTGCAAGATCTAGGAGCCAGAGACTAATTCTTGATGCTTAACTGAGGTGGAGAGACCATTCATCAGACTTACTGGTGTAAAATGATCCCTAAAATAACTTAAGTCTCTCACAGATACACCCAACAGCAGAAGCCTTTGGAGAACTGCCATCTCATAAGTTTACATGGTGTTCGAGATTTGTTTGGGACCCATAAAAAATGGATAAGCTTAACTAAATGTAATTAATTTTGTTACACACCATTTAAAAAACCCTGAATATGAAAAATCATCTCTGAGCCTGATATCAGAGACTGCCAAAGGATGCAGATGTTCCTGGGAGGTGATGGTGTAAGGAAAGAGTCCACAATCAAGATTTGAAACACTGTTTTGTATCACTTCAAACTAGACATGTAATTATGGTGTGATTTTCTTACCCAGCCCCTGCTGATCAGACAGCTCAGAGCAGATACATGTTTTAGACCACATTACCTAGTGCCTGCTGAGTCTGCAGTTGACATCTAACCCTTAATTTTGCCTGCGGAGGACACAGATGCAAAAGCTCTACCCAGACACAAATAGAGTAAATAGCATTCTGATTCTCAGAACTAAAATTTAGATAGCAAGAAAGAAGGTTATAGGACAGACCAGGGAGTCTGATGATGGCAAATGGAACTGAAATTATGAATTAGGCAGACCTGCAGATGAAGGTGTGATGGCAGAACGATAAAGTGCTTAAGGGATCCAGTGTAGAGAATAGTGACTTGTAATTAGGGATGACTGGGCAAGGCCTGATTCAACTTGATTGACTGGATTGAGAAGCTTCCAGTTCTCAATGCTGAACTCCGTTAAAGCATACCTCTAGGTATGTTTGTTGAGTGTTTCCAGGGACAATTAGATAATAGACTTTCTAAATCCATTGATAGATTCAAAGATTTAATGAACTTGGGAAATGATGAAGCTGCAGAAGATAGGATCTAGTTGGAGGAAGCAGGTTACCAGGCGTGTTTGGGGGGGTTCTCTTTTACCCTAACTTCTTCCCATCACAGCTGCACTTTGCTTCTGTGTGCCATGACATGAGTTGCTCTGTGGTACCCTCTGAATTATGATGAACTGAAACCTTAGAAACCATGTCCCAAAGAAATTCTCCCTTACATTGTTTCTACCAGGTTATTTACTCACAGAAATGACAAAGCTAATACACCTACTGACTTACTTAGACACCTGCGATCCCAAACTGACCCTCTAGT